TAGTTGCCGTCTGCATTGGGAACTCTTGTCACTGGACTAATTGAAATCAACAAAAAAAAAAAAAAAAAACAATTAGAAGGAATAAGTTCTAGTGTTTGACAGCACTGCATTGTGGCTATAGTTAACAGTAATTTAGTATTTCTTTCAAAATAGAAGAGAAGGTTTGGAATGTTCTCAACAGAAAGAAAGAAATGTTTGAAGTGGTAGATATCCTAATTACCCTGATTTGATCATTACACACTGTATGCATGTATTGGAATATCACATGTACTCCATATATATGTACATTATTATGTATCAATAAAAAGTATTTTGCTCATTTCAATATTTGTTTTCTTTCTTTTTTTTTTTTTTTGAGACAGAGTTTTGCTCTTGTTGCCCAGGCTGGCGTGCAATGGCACGATCTCGGCTTACCACAACCTCTGCCTCCTGGGTTCAAGCAATTATCTTGCCTCAGCCTCCAGAGTAGCTAGGACTACAGGCATGCGCCACCATACCCAACTAATTTTGTATATTTAGTAGAGACGGGGTTTCTCCATGTTGCTGAGGCTGATCTCTAACTCCCAGCCTCAGGTGATCCACCTGCCTCGGCCTCCCAAAGGGCTGAGAATGTAGGCGTGAGCCACTGTGCCCAGACAATATCTGTTTTCTTACTGAATTTTAAAAATTATTTGGATATTCAGGATATTTCTTTCGTCAATTAGATGTTTCTTCTAGACTGATATGCATGTGTATGTGTCTTGTCTTTTTATATTCCTAACAGTGTCTTTCATAGAGCAGATGTTTTAAATTCTTTTCTTTTATGTATCATGCTTTTGATGTCATTTTTAAAAAATTTATGTGTGTGTGTGTATATATATACACATATATATATATTTATATTTTTTTTTTTTTGAGACAGAGTCTCACTCTGTCGCCCGGGCTGGAGTGCAGTGGCGCAGTCTCAGCTCACTGCAAGCTCTGCCTCCTGGGTTCACGCCATTCTCCTGCCTCAGCTTCCCCAGCAGCTGGGACTACAGGAGCCCGCCACCACGCCCGGCTAATTTTTTTGTATTTTTAGTAGAGTAGAGACAGGGTTTCATGTGTTAGCCGGGATGGTCTCCATCTCCTGACCTCGTGATCCACCCGCCTCGGCCTCCCAAAGTGCTGGGATTACAGGCGTGAGCCACCGCGCCTGACCTTAATTAGTATTTTTTAGAGGCAGGTTCTCACTTTGTGTCCAGGGTAGGGTACTGCGGCACAAACATGGCTGACTATAGCGTCAACCTCCTGGGCTCAAGCAATCCTCCCATCTTAGCCTCCCAAGTTACTGGAGCTACAAATGTGTGCCACCACACCCCAGCTTGTTTTAAAATTTTTTTGTGGAAGTGGGGTCTTGCTCTGTTGCCCATGTTGGTCTTGAACTTCTGTCCTCAAGTGATGCTCCCACCTTGGCCTCCCAAAGTGCTAGGATTATAGGCGTGAGCCACCATGTCCAACCCTGGTATCATTTTTCTAAGAAAACTTTTAGGAAACCAAGGTCACAAAGATTTTTCTGCAAACTTCTTATACATATTTTGTAGTTTTAGTTTTTACATTTAGCTGTGTGATCCATTTTGAATTAATTTTTATACATAGTTTGAGGTGTTGGTTGAGGCTCATAGTTTTTTGCATATGGATATCCAGTTGTTTCAGTGCCATGTGTTCAAATGACTATCCTGTTTTTGTTGAATTACTTTTACAACTTTGTGGAAAATCAATTGATCATATATATGTGTGTCTATTTGTAGACTGTCTTCTCTTCCTATTTTTCCAGTATGTTAATCCTTTTGTCAACATCTCCCTGTTGATTATTGTAGCTTTCTATGAAGTCTTAATGTTAGATAGTGTGAATCCTCCAACTTTGTTTTTCTTTTCAAAATTGTCTTGGCAATTCTAGTTTCTTTGCCTTTCCATATAAATTTTAGAATCAGCTTGTCATTTTTGTAAAAAGATTGCTGGGGATTTGAATGGAATTGCATTGAATCTATAGAAGAATTTGGAGAGAACTGAAACCTTCACCAGATAAAGTCTTCCAATCCATGAACACATCCATATCTCTCCATTTGCTTAGGTTTTTAATTTCTTTAATCTGTAATTTATAGTTTTCAGCATAGTGTTTGCCTTTTAGGTGCTATTATAAAATGTACTGTTTTGTCCATTGCTTGTACAGTTGGTAACCTTATTTGAAGGTTTGAAGACACCTCATTTAATATATATTATTGAATCATTAACATTGAACTTACACAGCCAATAGTGCTATAACTCATGCCTGAATAAGCTTATCTAAAATACAGATTTTCTCCACAAGGCAGATCATTGCTTCCTTGTGCTTAGGTACACTAGGTAGCACTTGAGCACTGTGCCAGGGGACCATTTTAAACATCAAAATTACTGGGAAAAAAACAAAAAAAAAGCACAAAAATATGGCACTAAGTAGAGCACTAAAAGGAGACTTGTTTATTGTACGAGACCTGAACTAAAAAGACACAGTATCACTTTGACCTCAGCTGGGAATGTGTATGTTGGATGACTCAAATTTTTCACTGCTCTGTACATGTTCATGGATGACCATGAGAGTGCAGTAAATATTGATTTTGGGATTACAAATAAATTTTAGTGAGTAGGCAAATTAGGAATCTGTGAATGAAGATCAACTATATAAAAGTAAAATTGACTTTTGTGCTATATATTGGCCTTATATCCTGGATCTTGCTAACTCAGGTGATAGAGCTTTTTTGTTGATTCTTTGGCATTTTCTTCATCAATATTCATGTCATCGGCAAATAGGGGTACTTTTATTATTCCTTTTTTCTCTCTTTTTCTCTTTTTAAAATTGTAGTAAAAAGCACAGCAAATAAATTTACCCACTGGTCTGGTTGCAGTGATGTTTACAACCAATTATAGATTTCTTTGTTCCTTCTCCATTTCCACTGCCTTACTTGAGTAGCCTAAAAAAAAGAAAAAAAAAAATACCCTCTTAACAAATTTTAAGTACATTTTATGGCATTGTTAATTATGTGCATATTGTTGTTCAATAGTTATCTAGAACTTTTTCACCTGGCATTACTGAAACTACCCATTTAGTGACAGCTCCCCATTTCTCCCTCCCCACAACACTTGATAACCACCATTCTGCTTTCCGTTTCTATGTGCTTGATTACTTTAGGTACCTCATATAAGTGGAATCATGCAGTATTTGTCCTTTTCTGATTGGCTTATTTTACTTAGCATAATGTCCTCAAGGTTAATTTATGCTGTGGCATATGATAGGATTTACTTCTTTTATAATACTGAACATTCCATGGTATGTATATGTTGTATTTTCTGTATCCATCTATCAGTGGACATTTCGGTTGTGTCTATATGCTTAATGTTAGCAATGCTGCAATGAGCGTGAATTGTGCAGGTATCTCTTCAAGATCCTGTTTTCAGTTCATTTGGATATACACCTAGAAGTGGGATCATATGGTAGTTCTAGTTTTAATTTTTTGAGGAAGCTCTATACTGTTTTCCATAGTAGCTTCACCATTTTACAGTCGTACTAACAGTGCATAGGGGTTTCAGTTTTCCCACATCCTCTCCAATACTTGTTATTTTCTTGTTTTTTGATATTGGCAATTCTAACAGGTATGAGGGTGAGATCTCATTGTGGTTTTGATTTTTATTTCTTTTATAATTAGTGATGTTGAGCATCTTTTCATATGCTTGTTGACCATTGTATATCTTTTTTTTTTTTTTTTAAGATAAGGTCTTGCTTTGTTGCCCAGACTGGGGTGCAGTCGCACACTTATGGCTCACTGCAGCCTTGACCTCAAGCAGTCCTCACCTCAGCCTCATGAGTAGCTGGGACTACAGGCGTGCGCCACCATGCCCAGCTAATTTTTGTATTTTTTCGTAGAGGTGGGATTTCACCATGTTGTCCAGGCTGGTCTTGAACTCTTGGGCTTAAGTGATCCACCTGCCTCTGCCCCCCAAAATGCTGGGATTACAAGTGTGAGCCACTGTTACCAGCTCATTGTATATCTTTGGAGAAATGTCTATTCAAGCTGTTTGCCCATTTTCAAATTGGATTATTTTTTGTTGTTAAAGTTGAGAAGTTCTTTACCTATTCTGGGTAATAACCCCTTATCTGATATGTGGTTTGCAAATATTTTCTCCCATTCCGTAGAATGTCTTTTTACTCTGTTGATTGTGTCGTTTGGTGCACACAAGTTTTTCAGTTTGATGCAGTCCCATTTGTCTATTTTTGCTTTTGTTACCTGTACTTTTGGTGTCATATCCAAGAAATCATAGCCCATTTCAATGTCATGAAGCTTTTTCCTTATGTTTTCTTCTAGGAGTTTTATAGTTTCAGGTGCTACCTTTGTACCTGTAATCGATTTAGAGTTAGTTTTTGTATATGGTGTGAGATAAAGTTCATCTTTAATCTTTTGCATGGGCATGTCCAGTTTTCTCAACACCATTTGCTGAAGAGAGAATCGTTTTTCCATTGTGGAGTCTTGGCACCATTATCAAAGATTATTTGACACGATACCTCCTGGGATAAGTGATCCTCCCACCTCAGCCTCCCAAGTGACTGGGACCACCAGAAGGTGACACCACACCTGGCTGATTTTTGTATGTTTTGTGGAGACGGGGTTTTGTCATGTTGCCCTGGCTGGTCTTGAACTCCTGAGCTCAAGCGATCTGCCCACCTAGGCCTCCCTAGTGTTGTGATTACAGGCATAAGCCACCATGTCTAGCTCCCACATTTTTGTTATATTTTAGATCCAGCTTGTTAGGTCTTTTGATACTTTTCTTTATCCTTAATGTTTTGTATTTTGCCATATTACTGTGTATAAGTGTAGATTTTACTATTGATTAGCAGTAGAGAGTTTTTTCAACCTAGAAAATAATATCTTGGAAAAATTTCAACCATTATTTATTCATTTGTTTTGAGATGAAGTCTCACTCTATCACCCAGGCTGGAGTGCAGTGGCGAGATCTCGGCTCATCACAACCTTCGCCTTCCGGGTTCAAGCCATTCTCCTACCTCAGCCTCCTGAGTAGCTGGGATTACAGGTGCGTGCCACCATGCCCAGCTAATTTTTGTATTTTGAGTAGAGACAGGGTTTCACCATGTTGGCTAGGGTGGTCTTAAACTCCTGACCTTGTGATTCACTTGCCTTGGCCTCCCAAAATGCTGGGATTACAGGCATGAGCCACCACGCCTGGCCTCAACTATTATTTTTTAAAAGAACATTTCCTTCACCTCTTCTATTTTTTCCTTCTGAAACTGCAATTATTTCACTGTTGGAACCTGTGTTCCCTATTTCTTAGTTTTTTTTTCCTCACTGTGTAATATCTTAATCTTTTCTTTATACTGTGTTCTAGGTAATTTCTAATACATAAGTTATCTCTTCATTTGTTGTTAGCCGGATATTTATCCCATCTATTGATTTTAATTTTAAAGACCATTTTCTATTTCTGAGATTTATAATAGATTCTTTTTATAAATGCCTGTGATCATTTAATTATCTTCTATTCTTCTTTTAGGATGTTAGTCCCACTTAAGTATATTTAGTATGCTCAAAGAGATTAAAAAAAATTAAGATTCTTCATTTAAAAAACTGTCTTCAGGTGTAAATTCTATTTGCTGTGTCTGCTTATTGGTAGTAATTTTCCTAAAGTATATTATAATTTTGGTTTGTGGGCTCACGTTGGATTATTTTTTCCTGTGTGTGTTTTACCCCTTTTGTGTGGCTTTGGAGTGTACTCCACCTGTCCCTCTGGCTGACATAGCTCTAGGTCAGCTGTTTCATTAGGAATTTGGGTTTTTACTTTGGGAATAGCCTAGTTCTGGACCACACTACATGTGTTATATGTGTTACGCAGGCCCAGTGTCTATTCTCAGGGTAGCTCTGTTCCTGCCACAGTTGGGTGGAACTTTTTTTGGCCCAGTTCCAGCAAGGAGTCTGTTTCTGGTCTTCTGTTCCATGCATGGCATGCTGGACTTCTGGAGCGTCACAGCTTTAGCTACACTGTTTTTAGTTAAAAGCCCTTTTCCTGGGGGCTGCATGGCTTTAGTGCCCACTTAACCACTCTAAATTTGTCAACCACGAAGATCTTACTTATACTCTTATTGAGTGTAGCTAAATATTTAAAGTTTTATCTAGTTTCTTGTCTTTCCTTCTAGAGGTACTTTATGTTTATATAAGTAATAATGTGCTTATTTTCCTTTGTATACAGAAGTTAGCATACTATATATCGTATTATATTAGTTCATTCTCGTTCTGCTATAAAGAAATACCCGAGACTGGGTAATTTATAAAGAAAAGAGATTTAAATTGGCTCATGGTTCTGCAGGCTGTATAGGAACCAGGCTGGGGAGGCCTCAGGAAACTTAAAATCATGGCAAAAGTGAAGGGGGAGCAGGCGCATCTTACGGGGCCAGAGCAAGGGGAGGGCAGAGAGGGAGAAGGTGCCACACGCTTTTTTTTTTTTTTTTAAATCAGACATTTAGAAACAAGAAAGCATACATTAATTACATAAAAATAGTTTTTGAATAACAGAGTAAGCATCATATTGTCATTAGCAACAACATAGGACATGGGGCAGGATGCAGGACTCTGGGTGGTTTTAAAGATAGAGGTGGGTGGGTTTTTTCCCCCCCTTTTTTTTTTGCAGGGCTCTGGGTGGTTTTAAAGGTAGAGGGCGGTTCCCACCCCCTCCCTTTTTTTTTGAGATGAAATTTTGCTCTTGTTGTCCAGGCTGGAGTGCAATGGCACAATCTCAGCTCACCACAACCTCTGCCTCACAGGTTCAGGCGATTCTCCTGCCTCAGCCTCCTGAGTAGCTGAGATTACAGGCATGCGCCACCACACCTGGCTAATTTTGTATTTTTAGTAGAGACAGGGTTTCTCCATGTTGATTAGGCTAGTCTCGAACTCCCAACCTCAGGTGATCCGTCTGCCTTGGCCTCCCAAAGTGCTGGGATTACAGGCATGGGCTACTGTGTTCGACCCTTTTTTTCCCTTAATTGGGGGGGAAAAAAGTTATTTGTTATTCCTGATTTAAAGCAAGAACAAATGCCTCCCTGGACCCTGGTGGGCTGTGTAACAGGGAGGGTCAGGGAGGAATGAGAAGGGCTCTGCACCTACTGGGAGGATGGTGTCATATGGAAAACTGGCACAGGGGCTTCTTCTCCTCCTCTGTGCCACACACATTTTTGAACAACTAGATCTCAGGAGCACTCACTATCACGAGAGCAGCACGGAGGGGGAAATCCACCCCCATAATTCAGTCACCTCCCACCAGGTCCTACCTCCAACACTGGGGATTTGGGTGGGGCCACAGACCCAAACCATATCACCTATACTTTGCTTTTCTTAATAAGATAGGGAGTATTTTTTTTTGTTTTTGAGAGACAGAATCTTGCTCTGTCTCCCAGGTGGAGTGCAGTGGTGCAGTCATAGCTCACTGTAGCTTCAACCTCTGGGCTCAAGCAGTCCTCCCACTTCAGTCTCCCTAGTAGCTGGGACTACAGGCATGCACCACCGTGCTCAGCTAATTTAAAAAAAAAAAAAATTAAAGATGGGATCTTGCTTTGTTGCCCAGGCTGGTCTTGAACTCCTGGGCTCAAGTGATCTTCCCACCTTGGCCTCCCAGAGTGCTGGGTTTACAGGCGTGAGCTACCATGCCCAGCCAAGATAGGAAGTATTTGCGTTTGGTAAATCAGAGGGCTGGCATGGAGATTTGGTTTCTTTGTTAAGGAGACCTGCTGATTTGACCTGCATAGTTTATCTTCATCACAATAGGTAGAGACTTTTCCTACTTTTGAATTGTTACATTGTTTTTTACATATAGTTTAAAAAATGTTTATTCTCTCATTTTCTTTAATATAAAGATTAATCAGTTCTCTAATTGTGACCTTAACTTCCCCATGTCCTTTAAATTTTCATCATCCATTAAATTAAATTAATAATGTACCTACTGTTTATAGGTTCCTGAGAACTATGTGCTTCTATGTCTTCTTTTATGGGATATTTAAAAAATATTAATGGTAACAAGCACTTACATACATTTACTATGTGTTAGCACAGAAGTATAGAACAAAAGAGGAGAAATTGTTTGGAGGCAGTGATAAGGAGTCTATGTCACTGAGAAATATGAAAAGATGTTCAACCACTAGTATTAGAATCAGCAATAAACTGAAGTTTTAGTTCCTTCCATTTCTCATGCACGTGCTACATTTCTTTCAGCTGTTTTTGGGGATGCAATGTAAAATAGTTTTGTTACAGCAGTAGCTTAAGGTGAGCTGTGTTAGCATTTTCAGGGTTTAAACCCCTAAAATCTCAGGTAGGTATATATTATTTTCTTGAGAACCTACAAAAAAATCTCATTCCACTAATTTCAGAGCAGTGTAGGACTTATCCAATGTAGGAATTGGTTGTTCAGTCTAAAATAATGGCCGGGCACGGTGGCTCACACCTATAATCCCAGCACTTTGGGAGGCTGAGGCGGCCAGATCAATTGAGGTCAGGAGTTTGAGACCAGCCTGGCCAACATGGTGAAACCCTGTTTCTCCTAAAAATATAGAAATTAGCCAGGTGTGATGGCGCACACCTGTAGTCCCAGCTACTGGGGATGCTGAGGCAGGAGAATCGCTTGAACCTGGGAGGCAGAGGTTGCAGTGAACCGAGATCGCGCCACTGCAGTCCACTCTGGGTGACAGAGCAATACTCTGTCTCAAAGAAATAAAATAATATAAAATAAAATAACAATAAGTATAGTTTTTAAGTGGCTGCTTTCTGTCAGTTGCTGTAGTAAGTACTATAAGTCTAATAGTATACATTTACTGAGTTCTTGCTATGTGCCAGGTGCTGCTTTTTCCATATTAATCTAATCTTAATAACAAGCCTGTGAGGAAAATCCTGTTATTCTTGTTTTACAAATAAGATAAGTAGGATATCGTGAAGTTGAGTAACTTGTTTAGAGTCACAGAGTTTATAAGAGTTTATAAGTCTAGCACCAGAGATGTATTCAACATCAAATATTATACCTCCTATCTTCTTTAATTTTCACAGTAAGCCTATGAGGTAAGTATATAGAAAAGGAAACAGAGAGAGTGTGTAACTGTCTCATGGTCACTTGTTTCTGATCCCCATGAACCATACCATCACTCTCTTGCACTTAAGAAAATAGTCCAGTTTTTATACAACTTCATCTTACAACTCTTACTGCTTCTTGTCTTATCTCCCAGGGCCATTTCTGAGCAGTAGAGGTTTCAAGTAATCCACTAACAACCAGTTCCAAATTCTGTGGTCAAATCCTGTGCTGCTGTTCCAAGTGGTAAGTTTTCTTATGGACATAGTAAAACTTTAATATATTCTATTCATAAGTATCTTCATCTGTAAAAGGAACAAAGTATACTTTTGTGAACACATGATTGATTAGGCTTTATTGTTTTGCTACTGCTTTATCATACTGAGAAAATCAGAAGTTAAATATTAATATATTTGCCTGGCACAACTTTTGAAAATATTTAGCCCAACAAATAAGATGCTTTACGTCGCTCAGCTCGGTCTACTGTTATTTGTTATAATTCTATCTTGGCCGGGCGCGGTGGCTCACTCCTGTAATCCCAGCACTTTGGGAGGCCGAGGCGGGTGGATCACGAGGTCGGGAGATCGAGACCATCCTGGCTAACACAGTGAAACCCCGTCTCTACTAAAAATGCAAAAAATTAGCCGGGCGTGGCGGTGGGCCCCTGTAGTCCCAGCTACTTGGGATGCTGAGGCAGGAGAATGGCGTGAACCCGGGAGGCGGAGCTTGCAGTGAGCCGAGATCACGCCACTGCACTCCAGCCTGGGCGACTGAGTGAGACTCTGTCTCAAAAAAAAAATAATAATAATAATTGTATCTTTAGACCACATATTCAAGTGCTAAATGGACAAACACAGTGGTATGTTTTAATAGAGTTAAATTAGAACTATTATACATACATGAAGAACATTAGTGAACATTGTTTCTTAACTAAATTTTAAGTGATTACAATCTGATTATTAGATCAATTATAATATATTATACACTAGTCTCCCTTTCTCCGTGGTTTTGCTTTCCATGGTTTCAGTTATTTGCAGTCAACCAAGGTCTGAAAATATTTAGTGGAAAATTCTAGAAATAATTCATAAGTTTTAAATTTAGTGCTGTTCCAAATAGTGTGATGAACTCATACCCTGGACTTCAATCATCCCTTTGTCCAGCATATCTATGCTGTTTATGTTACCCACCCTTTAGTCACTTAGTAGCTGGTTGGAAATCAGATTTAAAAAAATAGTGTATATTAAATTTGGTAATATTTTGAGTTCCAGACATCCACTGGGGGTATTGGAGCATATTCCCCACAGATAAAGGAGGCTACTGTAACTACTGTTTACTGAGTATCCTTCATAGGTCTGACATTATGCTTTACAAATATAATTTGTGTGATCCTGTTAACAGTCCTATAAGATAGATGGTAGTGTTGCCATTTTATATAGGAAAAAACTGGTTACAGAAGTTCAGAATTTTATATTAGGTCACATAACTTGTAACTTGACAGAGCCAGCTTTGAAACCTAGGTATAACTGTCTCAAACCTTTTGATTTTCTCATTATACCATCTGATTATGTGTAGTGTTTGAATTTTGACCACGTAAAAAGTAAAGATTTTTAAGATGCTGAAGAGTGAAAAATCTGAAAGGTGTGCCTGTCTGTACATTTTAGAGAATTACAGAAGCTGTATTCAAATATACTGAATTACCTAATTTTTTTGTTTGTTGTTTTCAGGTAATAGATGCATATTATTTCTTTTATTTAAAAGAAATGAATGTGACTAGTATTGCATTAAGAGCTGAAACCTGGCTTTTAGCTACATGGCATGTTAAAGTACCTCCGATGTGGCTGGAAGCTTGTATTAACTGGATTCAAGAAGAAAATAATAATGTTAACTTGAGTCAGGCCCAAATGAATAAACAAGTGTTTGAGCAGTGGCTCCTTACTGATCTGAGGGATTTGGAGCATCCTCTTTTACCTGATGGCATTTTAGAAATTCCTAAAGGAGAACTAAATGGATTTTATGCTCTGCAGATCAATTCCTTGGTTGATGTAAGTCAGCCTGCATATTGCCAGATACAGAAGTTGAGAGGAAAGAATACAACAAATGATCTAGTTACAGCTGAAACACAAGTAACCCCAAAACCTTGGGAAGCAAAGCCTTCACGAATGTTGATGCTGCAGCTAACTGATGGAATTGTACAAATACAGGGAATGGAATATCAGCCTATTCCAATTCTTCATAGTGATCTTCCTCCAGGTACAAAAATTTTGATTTTTGGAAATATATCTTTCCGTCTTGGCGTTCTCTTATTGAAACCAGAAAATGTGAAAGTATTAGGAGGTGAAGTAGATGCTCTTTTAGAAGAATATGCCCAAGAAAAAGTACTTGCAAGATTAATAGGGGAACCTGATCCTGTACTTTCAGTCATACCAAACAATTCTAACGAAAACATTCCCAGAGTTACAGATGTTCCAGATCCTGCATTAGGTCCTTCTGATGAAGAACTCTTGGCAAGTCTTGATGAAAATGATGAGCTTACAGCAAATAATGACACTTCCTCAGAAAGGTGTTTCACCATGGGTAGTTCCTCAAATACCATTCCCACAGGACAGTCAAGTTTTGAGCCAGAATTTGTTATTTCTCCAAGACCAAAAGAGGAACCATCAAACCTATCTATGCATTTCATGGATGGGGAATTAGATGACTTTTCATTGGAGGAGGCCTTGCTTTTAGAAGAAACTGTCCAGAAAGAACAGATGGAAACTAAAGAATTGCAGCCATTGACTTTTAACAGAAATGCCGATCGAAGTATAGAGAGATTTTCACATAATCCTAATACTATGAATACTTTTTCTTTGACTTGCAAAAATGGAAACAATAATTGGAGTGAAAAATATGTATCTGAACAAATGACTAATGAAGACAAATCATTTGATTGTCCATCTGTTAGAGACCAAAACAGGAGTATTTTTTCAGTTGATCGTAATGTACCCTTAGCCCATGATTTTACAAATAAAGATAAGAACTTAGAGACAGATAATAAAATAAAACAAACCAGCAGTTCAGATGGACATTCCTTAAATAGTAAAATATTAGATAGAGAGGTGGTCAACTATGTACAGAAAAGGAGTTCACAAATTTCTAATGAAAATGATCGTCATTTACAGACTTGTTCTTTAAGATTACCAGAGAATAGCATTAATTTTTCTATTGCCATGGATTTGTATTCTCCACCCTTTATCTATTTGTCTGTTCTACTGGCCAGCAAACCAAAGGAAGTTACAACAGTGAAAGTGAAAGCATTTATTGTAACCTTAACTGGAAATCTCTCAAGTTCTGGTGGCATTTGGAGTATAACTGCAAAGGTGTCTGATGGTACTGCGTATCTAGATGTAGACTTCGTGGATGAAATACTGACTAGCCTGATAGGGTTCTCTGTACCAGAAATGAAACAGTTAAAAAAGGATCGTCTTCAATACCAAAAGTTCCTGGAAGGTTTGCAGAAATGTCAGCGAGATCTAATAGATTTGTGCTGTATAATGACTATTTCATTTAATCCTTCCTTGTCTAAAGCAATGGTACTGGCATTACAAAATGTTAATACGGAACACCTTGAGAATCTAAAGAAGCGGTTAAATAAATAACTTAACTAAAATAGTATTAGGAACAATTAAAAACAACAAGGAAATATTTAGAATTTGTTCACAGTTTTACTTGTGAGACTTTGTGTGAAAAGGAAAGATGAAATTACATAACTTATTTCAGTTTAATTTTAAAGTGTTTAATCATGTTTGTTATATGTGGAGCTTTTTAACATAAGTTAATCTTTTTTTTTTTTTTTTTTTTTAAAGACAGGGTCTTGCTTTGTTGCCCGGGCTGGAGTGCAGTGGCATGATCATAGTTATTGCACTGACCTCCTGAGCTCAAGCAATCCTCCTGCCTTAGCCTCTTGAGTTGCTGGGACTCTAGGCATATACCACCATGCCCAGCTAATTTATTATAATTATTATTTTGTAGGGACAGAGTTTTGCTCTGTTGCCCAGATTGGTCTCAAACACCTGGCCTCTCAATCCTCCTGTCTTGGCCTCCAAAGGTTAATTTTTTAAAAAGTAACTGTTAGATGGAGGAATATGGTGACCCACTATTGTTGAGAAATTTGTTTTCCACTTGTCACATAAGATGAATGCTGAAGTATCAATACTGGTGTTCAGTGGTGAGTCATATTGTTGAAAGTTAATAATTATAAAGAGGTAATTTTCCTTCTAATGTGTTGTCTATGGCCATACCAACCGGAACATGCCTGAGGTTGTCATAATATGTTGAGTACCCAAAAGATTTGTTTATATTGTTAATCTTAGGAAAAAATAAATAAAATCCAGTTAGATCAGAACATCAAACTTTCAGATGCAAATTGATTTACTGGTTTTTATTTTGCTGATTATAATATTTGGTATATTTAAGGTAATCTAGTTAATTAGATGCTATTTCATAGATTATATTGAATGATTTAAAACTTTATTTTCAAGGATAGTTTATTTTAAATGGCATATTGAAAACATCATTAACAAGATCCAGTAGGTAGGACATTTATTGGATTAAAATAAGGCATTTATCTATGTCTTTAGGTGTCGTTGTTCCCTTTCTGAATTAGCTGTACATATAAGCCTTCCTTTGGTTTTAAGTGCTGATTTTTTTTATTTTTTAAGAGGGGCTGTTTACCATTCTTCCACTGTGCTGTTATAAAGTTGTATTTGAAAGGTAATGTCGTTTTTATTAATCTTTTGTCTTAAAATAAAGTGCTTTGAGTTTTAAAACATTAAACAAATCCTTAAATAACAAAATACATTGGTGTTTTATTTTATTGAAAATAATGTAATAGGAAATATCAGGAAGTAAGATAAATACATGTATGAAAATATGATAATAGAAGTAGAAGAGAAAGATTTTTAAAATATTTCCATTGTTATATCAGGGTTCAAAGCACCAGGACACAGATATTGCTGGTATGTGCCCTAGTAATAATCTTGTCTATATACTTGCATAGCTTTTTAATAAGTGATCTGAATGGGATAGCCTAATCTTTCATTATCTTTTCATTAAATGCTGTGCTCTTAGACTCTTTATCTCTGTGAATGGGGCTTGAAAATTGGGATTAGAACTTCTTTTCATATTGTCATTAAAGACTGGCTATCGTACTTTTTGTCAATCTATGCTACTATATTGGTTCTTGGTGCGTTGATTCTGTTTCTAGTCTTCTCTGGCCTGGATTATTGCAGTGGTTTACTAATTGGTCTTTTATCTTATTTTGCCCTCAAACCATGCTCCATAATGTTACCAGAGTGATCTTTCGAAAATAAATGTCTTCTTGTTTTCTCTTCATTAACCTTTAATACCAACCTCCTTCCACCCCATTACTTACAGGGTGAAGTCCAAACTCCTCACTGAGTATGTAAGGCCTTTCGTGATCTGGCCCCTGACTTCTTTTTTAGCCTATCTTGCCCCATTACTCTTTGCCCCTGAGTTTTAGGGGTACCAAGTTATTTGTAGTACACTAAACATGTGGAAGAATATACCTCTTACTTTCATACTCATGCTTATAGTGCCTCATCCCCCTGCCTTCCTAAATCATTTCCAATTCAGTTTAAGCTTTAGCTGCCTGTTACAGTGTTTCATGAATTCCCCTGCCCACTTGCATGCTCTCCTGTACATTATACAGACTAATATGTGTGTTTTTACTGTGCTTGTTTCTCTGTTACTCTATTGCTACCTTTTTGGTAGGATAAGTCTTACGGGGCTGTCCTGTGTGCATTGTAGGATATTTAGCAATATCTTTGGCCTCTGCCCACTGGATGTGAGCAGCATCCTTCCAGTTGTGATAACCAAAAATCTCTCCAGACATTGCCAGATATTCCCTGGAGCTGGAGATGCCCCTAGTTGAGAACCATTGTTCTGTTGGAATATAAGCTGCTTAACAGTATGGTTGAGGGGTTTACCTTGTTGCTCCAGTAAGCATTTCATCAAGTCTGATAATCTTCTGTTGCCTAATATCTTTTGTGATTTCCCGTCATCCATTCCAATAGCATGGTACTTAAAGCCCTGACACCTGTGCATACACAGCATGTCAAAGAGCTGCCCTCTTTAGTGAAAGAATAGATTAGAAAAATCTGGCCTGTAGTAAAGAGTGACTATGAAAAAACTTGGATGACTTGGTTTAGATTCTGGTTGGGTAGGGGAAAAAATGTTCTTTTCCCTGAGAATTTGTAGCCGTAGGTCTGTGCTCATGTGGGGCTAACCAGACACTTAAAAGTTACCTGCACGATAATCTCCAGACTAATAACTGAACACAAACAAGAATGATCCTAAGAGTTCCTGGCAGTAGCAAATGGGAAGAAAAAAACAAGCATAATCAGATGAGCTCTCTCTTTCTCTTGGGAGTGACTCTGCTTTCGGAGTACAGTTGTCCTTTGGTATCCATGGGGGATTGGTTTCAGAACCTTCCACGGATACCAACATCCAGATGCTCAAGTTTCTGATATAAAATGGTACCTTATTTACATATAACCTATTCACATACTCCCATATACTTTAAATAATTTAATTTCTAGGTTACTTATAATTCTTTTTTTTTTTTTTTGAGACAGGATCTTGTTCTGTCGCCCTGGCTGGAGTGCAGTGACACAATTACTGCTTACTTCAGCCTTGACCTCCTGGGCTCAAGTGATCCTCTTGCGTCAGCCTGCCGAGTAGCTGGGGCCACAGGTGTATGCCTCCATGCCCAGCTAATTACACTTCTTTTGTAGAGATAGTGTCTCGCCATGTTGGCCAGGCTGGTCTCCAACTCCTGTCCTCAAGCCATTGTCCTGCCTCTGCCTCCTAAAGTGCTTAATACAATGTAACTGCTAGGTAAATAGTTGCATTGTTTAGAGAATAATGACAAGGAAAAAAAGTCTGTACACGTTCAGTATAGATGCATTTTTATTTTGAATATTTCTGATCCATGGCTGGTTGAATCCATGGGTGTGAGGGTTGACCATATATGTTTTTTGCTTGTTCATACTTAAGTCTTACTGGTTGGCTCCTGCCCTGGGTCCAGTACTGCTTGTGACTTGGTGGGTTAGTCTCCCCAATTCTGGAGTTAGTAGGCACCACATGAAGCTCTCAGACATTCAACTATTTTTAGACTTAAAAATAACAACGTAATATGCTTGAAAAAAGACAAGATTGAAAGTTTTAGTTAACTGGGAACTGAAAAACTAAATTGATTTTTTTTTTTTTTTTTTTTTTTGAGACAGGGTCTCACTTTTTCACCCAGGCCGGAGTGCAGTGGTGCAATTGTGGCTCACTGCAACCTCGACCTCCTGGGCTCAAGCGATCCTCCTACCATGGTCTCTGGGCAGCTGGGACTACAGGCATGTACCACCAGGCCCGGATAATTTTTTTGTGTTTTTAGTAGAGATGGGATTTTACCATTTCTACCTAGGCTGGTCTCAAACTCCTGAGCTCAAGCAATCCACCTACCTTGGCCTCCCAAAGTGCTGGGATTACAGTATGAGCCACTGTGCCTAGCCTAAATGGAAATTCTAACAACAACAAAAAAGCAAGAGCTGGAATTAAGAATTTGATGAGGTTGGGTGCAGTGGCTCGTGCCTGTAATCCCAGCACTTTGGGAGGCCAAGGCAGGCGGATCACCTGAAGTCGGGAGTTCAAGACTAGCCTGACCAACATGGAGAAATCCCATCTCTACTAAAAATACAAAATTAGCCAGGGGTGGTGGTGCATGCCTGTAATCCCAGCTACTCAGAAGGCTGAGGCAGGAGAATCACTTGAACTCAGGAGGTGGAGGTTGTGGTAAGCTGAGATCGTGCCATTGCACTCCAGCCTGGGTAACGAGCAAAACTCTGTTTCCCCCACTAAAAAAATTTTTTTTTGATGAGTGAGTTTCAAACCAGATGAAACAAAGCTGAGGATAAATAGTGAAATGAGTTGGGTCAGAAGAAAAAAATTCTGAATGATACATACAGAGACAAAAGGATGGAAAAGAACCAGAAAGCAATGTAACAGAAGGGCTAACATTAAGCAACTGGAGTTCTAGAAAGAGCAAAGTAGAGAATATTTGGAGTTAATGCTTAAGAATTTCATAAAACCCATGAAGATCTTCAAGCTATAGATTTTGAAAGTTCTGCAAACCTCAGGCAAAATAAATTTTTAAAATACACATACAAATATTACTAATACAGTTGAAAAGTAAAGAAAAAATGTACAGCAGTGACAAAAATAAGATATATTACCTTCTAAGGACCAAAATATGACAACTGACTTCTCTATACAAACAATGGGAATCAAAAGATAATGGAATGACATTTTCAAAGTGATGACATAACTGCCGACCTGGAGTCTATAATAAGCAAAACTGTCCTTAAAAATAGGGTGCAATAGGAAAAATTAAGAACGTTTCCACCAGGTGTGCTGACTCACGCCTGTAATCCCAACACTTTGGGAGGCTGAGGCCCATGGATCACTTGAGGTCAGGAGTTTGCGACCCGCCTGGCCAACATGGTGAAACCGTGTCTCTACTAAAGATACAAAAATTAGTCGGATGTGGTGGTGTGCACGTGTAATGCCAGCTACTTGGGATACTCAGGAAGCTGAGGCAGGAGAAATGCTTGAACCTGGGAGGCAGAAGTTGCAGTTGACTGAGATCGTGTCACTACACTCAGCCTGGGCGACAGAGTGAGACTCTGTCTCAAAAAACAAAAAGCAAAAAAACCAAAACATTTCACATGAAAAATGAGAATTTTCCCCCTAACAAATCCTGCACACACACAAAAATTGTCTTTAAGCAGAGGGAGAACATTATCAGATAGAAGCTTGGAGATGCAAGAAGGAATATGAATTAAGAGGGTAAATATATGAATTAAATGCATAGTGATTTTACTTTTTTTTTTGAAGTCAGGGTTTTACTCTGTCACTCAGGCTGGAGTACAGTGGAGATCATGTCTCACTGCAGCTTTGAACTCTTGGGTTCAAAAAATCCTCCTGCTTCAGCCTCCTTAGTAGGTGAGACTAGAGGTGCATAACACCATACCTAGCTAAGTTAAAAAAAAAAATTATAGAGACAAGGTCTTACCATATTGCCCAGGCTGATAATGAACTGGCCTTGAGTGATCCTTCTGCCTCAGCCTCCCAAGTTGCTGAGATTACAGGCATGAGTCACTGCACCCAGTATAAATGAATAGTGATTTTAAAACAGGCCGGGCTCAGTGGCTCACACCTATGATCCTAGCACTTTGGGAAACCAAGGTGGGCGGATTGCTTGAGGCCAGGAGTTCCAGACCAGCCTGGCCAACATGGTGAAACCCTGTCTCTACTAAAATACAAAAATCAACTGGGTATGGTGGTGCATGCCAGTAATCCCAGCTACTTGGGAGGCTTGAGGCATGAGGATTGCTTGAACTTAGGAGGTGGAGGTTGCAGTGAGCCACACACCACTGCAGCCCAGCCTGGGTGACAGAGTAAGAATCTGAATTTTAAAAAGAAAAAGCACATAACTTGGGAGAGGGATAAATCAAGTTAAAATGTTTTAATGGCCTTGTTTTCTGAGAAAAGATTAAGCTATAGTTTTATATTAAACTTTTTTCTTTTAAAAAATTTTTATTTTTCATTTTCAACCCTGGCCTACAGATATATTAAGCTCGAATATTCAAAGTTGGTTTTATAATACTCAGGGTAACCACTCTAAAAGATTTTTAAGATCTTAAAATATTGCCACCAAGCTAATGGGACAAAAACATGATAATACAGAACCAATTGCACTCAACCCAAAGGAATGCAGGAAAGGAAA